TCCTGCCGGCGTGGGTACCCCCACCCGCGGGCTGCGGGGAGCTGGAACCGGGCCCGCAGGGACCCGCACCGCCTGCGGGGGTATTCGGGAGACCCGCCTGGAGGGAGCGCACTCTGCGTGGCGGGGACGTGGAAGGTTAATCCTCGAGTTACTCTTCCAACGACCAGGACGGGCAGGGGTTTTCCCCTTCCACCGTTATTCCCATATCCAACATATCCACCCATCATTCCTTCTGAGCGCATGCTTTGACCATTCCCGTGTCCACCCATCATTCGCTCTGAGCGCACAGTTTGACCATTCCCATATCCACCCATCATTCGCTCTGAGCGAATGCTTTGGCCATTCCCGTGTCCACCCATCATTCGCTCTGAGCGCATGGTTTGACCATTCATCATTCACTCTGAGCACATGGTTTGACAAAGTCTTTTTTTTCCTAATCTTTAAGCTGAGCAGGCTCACAAGGTGGTCGCAAGTTACAAACCTTCGAAGTTTGACAAAAAAATCCTCCTTTGGACCGGACGTTTCAAGACAGAAGAAGAGATTCCTCTGAGGATCCCGTAAGTGTGCTGCTCTTGTCCAAGGGGACCATGGAGCTGAAGGGAAAGCGGTGGCGTGATCCTGTGCTAAAGCTTTTCCACAGAGTTTGAACCAGTCAGTCTTTCAACATTGAAAACTTGGAAACAAGTTAGAGGGCAAAAGAATTTCCTGTCCTAGTTAGAGGTTAAGATGAAAAAATGTTCCTTACTGGGGTCCCCAGAGCCTGGGATCAAGAACCGGATCCATCTGAGTAGATAGCCTTGGTTACATTTGTGTACTGGCTTGTTTATTTTGCTTATTCCTAATGTGCAGTCAGAGAAGGATGTTATTGGTGAACAATATTTTCTGTTTATACCTCCCTTAAACAGTTCTAAGGGAGCTGACTGTCACTGAATGATTACGTCCAACAAATTATGATTTATTATAGAATTTGAGGAAAAATAGAGAAGGAGGTTAGGAGAGAAACATCCCCCCACCAAGGAAAACCGAGTACTTGAGATAGCCTTAGCCTCCCATTCTTGTTGGTCCACTAGACATGATCTTTGAAGGTGCCTTCCCACCCAAACCACGCTGATTCTGTGGTTCTCTGACTCTCTGAAAGTTAGCGTCCCCCAAGGGAGTCAGTCACCGAACACATGAAACCCCTCTAATGCCAGCTGCTGCCTTTTTCTTAGGATGTTTGATAGATGCATCAGATGTCTCTCTCCAGGACGCTACTTTTTATCATCACAGTGTGTCCCTGTCTTGGGTGGTACATGGAGCGTAAGCAGTGTGCAGAGCTGTGTCAAGCAACAGGTGCATCCTCTGCAGTTTTACATCCTCCTGACAGTTTTACGGATGTTTCCTGAGCTGGACAGTGGCTTTCCACTGTCCCACCTCTCTTGCGCTGTGTTAGTCCCACCATCTTCCCCTGGAGAAAGGTTCAGACAGGTCTCAGAAGCTCTAAAAGCTCTTCAAGTCACTTTGTGCTTTCTGGGCAAGCAAAGTCTTTTTAGAACTGTAAGGTCATAAATAGTAGTATACTAAAAGAAGTTAATTGTGTGACATTGAAGCTGAATTGCGTCACTGCTTTAACTATTAAAAAATACAAGATTGCAAGATACTGTTACCTGTGAACACAATCCAGCTGCTGAAGGTAGTTTGTACTAAGGGTCAAATCTGCAGTCCTTATTCAAGGTTGTTGGGTTGTTGTGGTTTGGTTTTTTTGAAACAGCTGTTATTGACTTCAGCAGAGGTTTACCCAGAGTCTTGATTAAGGATTGAGTAGCAAAGGCCCTAATGTGCAATTAGGGAAGAACATAATAAGGTCTGTTTTCCTTAAAGCAGAGGCAGAAAGCAGGGAGAAAGTGAAAATCTGCTTCAGAAGAGTTTCAATTAGTGCATTGTGAAATATGATTAGGCTAACAAGCCAGACTAATAACATTTAGGGGTTTGCTTTTGTTGCTACAAATGGATTAGTGGATTAATGATTTTATGTGCTAGTCTGATGTGCAGTTTGTTTTAAAGATGACGTGTGTTTACCATTGTACAAAAGAAAAGCAGGCAGGCAGAACTGCAGGCATTGTCGGTCATCTACAAGAAACGTGGCATATGTAACGTGCGTGTGTGCGCATGTGTGCACGTTGGCATGGCATCGCCGCTGGTCACACTTGCCCTCTTCCATTGCATTAAAGCCTTCAAGAGAAGCGCTCCTGCCCTCAGCCTTGGTACACGCTTCCATGGGCAGAACTTCTGCTATAAAGACTCCAGCTCTGCCTCATCCCACCACTCATCCCCTTTAAAGTAAAGCTCAAGGTGCTGGGGGGGAAAAGAGACCATTACAAGATCGTTACTCACAACGTAAAATCAATTCTTTATTTAACTATCCTTTTTACGTCTATATATATGTATAAAACCATAACTATGTATTATGTATATTTGTATTCTATATCTTATGATATGTATCTTTATAAAGCATTCCCATGTGATTTATGAAAGCAAAATAGCACACAGCCAGCATTATAATCATAGAATCATTTAGGTTGGAAAAGACCTTTAAGATCATCCAGTCCAACCACTAACCTTACACTACAAAGTCCACCACTAAACGAATTAAGGGTAGAGTAGTAATTTCATGTTTCCTGGCTTGGGGGCTGGATCATTTTTTAATGAAAGTAAAAACTAGGAATCATTAAGGTTGGAAAGGATGTCTAAGATCATCACCACCGTGCCAACTAAACCATGTCCCAAAGTGCCACATCTACCTGTTTTTTGAACGCCTCCAGGGGTGGTGACTCCACCACCTCTCTGGGCAGCCTGTTCCAATGCTTGACCACTCCTTCCGTGAAGGCATTTTTCCTAATATCCAATCTAAACCTCCCCTGACGCAGCTTGAGCCCATTTCCTCTCGTCCTATCGCTGACTACTTGGGAGAATGAACATGTTAAAATTTGTACTCCCGAGTATAACGTGACTCAGAAAAAGACAGCTGAAAGTTTTGAGACAATTTTAGTGACACGGAGATTTCCTGTCCTGCTGATTCTCAGGGGTATGCAGCCTGCTCATGATGGAGGAGGGTGGAAACGGAAGCTGCTCCGACGCAGCTCGCTGGGCCGTATGCCTCTCTTGCAGCAACTACTGCCAAACGCGGGGCTGAAGTTTTCATTATTTTTGCCTTTGACGACCCACAAAAATAATCATATATTGTTCTTGTTCAGGTGTATGTTCCTGCCACAGTGAGAAGGCTGACATCAGCCGCCCGCTTCAAATAAAACTGCTGCTTTTCTAAAGAACTAAAAACCTCTAACTTGTAGAAGTACAAACTCTGTTTTAATCACCTGTCCAAGTATGTAAAGTCCCTAGCTTACAGTATACAGGATGCCATCTAAACAGGTTAGATCTGACAGTAATTAATTTCTAAAGTTAATTTTGAGTAAAAGGAACTTGCTTTCGCCACATCTGGTTGGCGCCACGTACACTTCTCCATCTGTTTAAAATAGGTAAAACCCTTTAATTTTCACTATGTTTAAACAGAGCTTAAGGTAGGATTTCTGGTGTATTTACCCCAAGTATTTAAATGCAAGTATTTATTGCATGAGGAATTTTTTGTCCCCAGCTTAAAAAAAAAAAAAAAAAAAAAAATCAGCTTAAATCCATTAAATGTTGCTTTTTCACGAGAAATGGATTAGGGTCAGAAAATGCAAAGTTCTTGGGTGGTACATAACCAGTTATAGCAAGCTGAAGATGCTTGTTTTAAAAGCTAGTTCTATTTTTACTTTCCAATGGTGATGTTATGTCTACGATGCTTTGAAGAAAAGGTACTTCACAGTTTTGTAATGATTCAATTCAATAACTTTAATTACAGGCCAGAGATGCTAGACAGGGCAAGAAACAAAGCTCGAGTTAAAGCTTGTTACATCATGATTGGACTCTCAATTGTTGCCTGTTTTGCAGTGATTGCCTCAGCTAAAAAGGTGAGTACAGCGCTAGCTAGTTATCACGTAGCATATTTTAAAATGATGGAATTCTGTGAAAAGTAGACAAACCTGAACAAACAGCAGCACTTAAAACTAGGGTAGGTGTAGGTAACCTGTGTTCCTGTCACCCCTGACACGTAAGTAGCTGCTGGCTGTTCCCGAGATTGGGCAGCTTTCCCCGAGGTGCATCGTTACTCCCACTACACTACTCTTAAGTAGGTGGTTTACTTCCGCAGGCTGCTGCGCGTCACGAGTCCTTAACAAGCTGGAACCTGGCAAAGAAGGCCAAGTGGCGGAAAGAGGCCCAGCTAGCAGCGGAGTCGAAGACAAAGTAACTTCATATGAAACGCCAAATGTCCTTGTAGGAGCAAAATTAACCGTTGCTGAGTGATTAGTGAATTGCACCAATAAATGGGAAACTGTAGTACTGCGCACGCTGGAGCCAACAAGGGTAGTTACGCAACAAGGATCGCAAAAAGAAACGGAGGGTCTCTTTCGTTAGAGAGATACTCCATGTACTTGTTGCAAATTATTAAAATCAGAATGTTTTGCACATGATTAAAAGCAGTAATTAATTTCAAAGAAGATGAGGTCGTTTCCAAGAACGTCAGGTATGGGGGGAGCTAAGGTTCCACTATCTGTCTTAAAAGCTTTCTTTCAGGCTTATCTTGACCTCTTACACAGATAAGAGCCCCTTACAGAAAAACTAGCCGTATTTTTCAATGAAAGGTTAAATGCAGCAAAGACCAAGCAGTAGTGAAGGTACAAAAACCGCAAAAATAAGGAGACACATACAATTCACTTTTGCAATTCTAAATAAAGAACAAACCGTCACCGGCCACATTACAGATCTTATATACCGAGAAGATTTTGAGAAGCGAGGGGAGAGGAAATGGCCTGGTAATTTCACAAATTCTCACGTCCTTATACACTTCATGGGAATTCCCAAAGAAGTGGTCAGTTCTGCAGGCAGAGGCAGGACTGTGGTTATCCTACAAGTATATGTTTGGTTAGATATTTACAAAACATGTTTCAAACAAGAAAGTTTTCTGTCTGGTGACAGTGCATAGTTTTACAGTGCACAAATTAGCCAGTTTGAATTCATTTACCGCAATGCTGTATTCAAAATGGTGTTTGTGTTTTCTAGTTGAAGAAGCCACACTTATTGAAACACTAAATAAATACAATAAACATCTGTAAAATAGGTTTTATTGGTTTCTGTATGATATTTGGAGATTTAACATTCCATAATATTGCATACTACTCATATGTGTTCTGTTACAGTAATGGGCCTTTGGCCTGGATTTAAAGATGCACTATTACTATCTGAAGTTAGTATAGGTATTTTAGTTTCCACACAGTATATGAGGATATTTTGCCATAAGTAACTAATTCTCATTCCAGATTTCAGTGGACTCTTGAGGTCACAGTTAAACTTCACGTATCAATTGGCAGACCTATTACAAAAATCCTCAGTTGCACAATTTAATAAATTTAAACCAACTGAGAACTAACCTTGGAGGAAAGACAATAGTGCATCTTTTTTTTTTTTTTTTTTTTTAAAGACAGACCCAACAATAAATATTTTCCAGTTGCAAACTTGTTCTACAGCTAACTTATTTCCGTGCCAACATTATTACTATTTTCTGATTGCTGCTAGCAACAGTGTTTAAAGCAAATACTAGAAAATTAAAAAGCTGTATGAACCAGTCCTCAAACAAAAGTGCAATGATGAAAAAATTAGATACGATTCAGTGTATCAAGAGTAGGGAACTTAAAAAAAAAAAAAAAATCTTATGCTTTGCATAGTTGCATAGATTAGCTAGTTAGTATTCACATTTAAGCAGAACAAATGGTACCCTTTTAATTAAAACCAAAACCACAAACCCCAAACCCCTGTATTTTGAAACAAACTTTTTAACTGATGGGGCACTTCAGATTCCATACAAAATACCAAACTTAAAAGATATTTTCTTCTCTTCGTTATTTTTTTTTTCCTCCACAGTGGTTTCATCTGTTTAGGCAACATCCTCATAGTCACACCCTACCGGCAAATGACTACACCAGAGCTGACCTTAAGTCATCATCTCTGGTTTTATATTGTTCATTTATGTGCTTTTAACAAAGTGTGATGTAAACCCAGGGATAAAATAGGAGAGGCCATCCTGTACGTTTATCCTTTAAAGAAGAATTTTCATTAGCCAAAGTTCATCAACTTTAGTTCCCTTTTAAACCGTTACATCTAAATGTATCAGAGGCATGAAGTATAGTTAATCTAAATGCGTAAAGTGCAGTTACTAACCGTTCACACATATAGAATAATATATCCACAAAACTGAAGACATTCTTCCATTCTTTCAAAACAAATACAATATTTTTAAATGTCCCCTCTTTTCTTCATTTTCAAGTCTTTTAATCAAGATTTTTATAGTTCAGATTTGGTTTAAATTAGGCTTATATGCAGTTTTTACAGGGTTCTCCAAATAAAAAGCAGGCACGGCTGGTTATGTTATCAAAACAAGGTTGTTAGAAACAATGGAATACCCTGTTACCTGAATAATTTTCTTACACTTGAAGAACATTAAAATTCAGCATTTACTAGTAATCCTGGTAGATTTCCATGATTGTTACCCTGTACTTTGAACAGATGGGGGGGGGGGAGGGGGGAAGAAGGAAGGTCAGTATATGAAAACCTAAAACTATGAGAGTAAAAAGGGCACAAATACAATCATCTAACATTATATGAAAATTTGGCAGCTGTACTCAAGGTTATTACGCTATTCAAAACTGTTGTATGCTGTACAAATCTAGGTTTAAAGTGTCATTTGCTAAAATAGCTCATTATTCAGAGTTCATAAAGTAACAGCACTCCTATATACACTTCTTACACTATCTTCCACTAAAAAGACTTCAAAAAGAGGTTTCTTCCCTCCCAGTTACATCTTAGTCAAAACTGACCATTAATCTTAGAAAATCCACTTCAAGTCCCATATTCAATTACAATATAGTATGTATTGCTGTAACATCAAAGTGAAACATCTTAGAATCTTAACTTGCATGTAAAAAAATTCTAAATTTAAAATGGTGCTGTAAATGATACCACCTTTAACCTGTATTTTTCAGTGCATTAAAATATTGTTTAGTGACAAGCACAGTGCCATGGGGTAAGTAATCTGAAGTTTAAACTGCAGCTTTTTATGAAGCATGAAATGCTCTCATATGTCAAGGATCTCACTTAACCCAGGAGTTTGATGTTAATATATTAGTTACAGGTAATAAGAAATAATCATACTTCAAAGTTAACCTGAAGTATTAATTTCTCCAAATGAGATATAGTACTAATAGACCAGAAACACTACTTATATGCAAGTCGAAGCAGAGCATACCTTTTTCTGTATTCAAAATTGTTAATGTCAATATTAGAATTCTATTTCTTTTAGTGTTTAACAGCAAATACTGTATATTGTAGAGCCTAAATATTTAGATGACAATAACTTCTAGTTAGTTTTGGTGTCCACACACTTAATGCTATTTACAGTACAACAAACTTTTCCTTCAACTGGAGTGATTCACTATTCATTCTTCACTGCAGTATTTCTATTGTGTTACCAAAAGAAAACAGAGTTAGTTAACTTAAAGAACAATTCAAGTGGCGGTAGCATATTTGGTCAAAAAAATAACACCTACTGTCTATAAACTTTTAAGAAGCAACTGTACTAGAAAGGCAAACATTGCAATGTTTCTCAAACTAAAGTGGTGTTACCACATTTTGACAGGAGACAGCTGTAAACCATCTGCTTGGTGCTCTGTGCAAATCACCATCTCTGTCATTCATAATCGCAGCATTCTTGTGGTAACTACAGCAACTGCTTCCGCTGCAAAGTACTGTATTTGTGGCTGACTTTTAATGCCATTTAGCAGCTTTAATTACAGAGCCAACATCAAATGACCAGCAAGCTCTCTGCTGATTCCAATTTGAAAACCTCTGAAATAGTCCTCTTCCCACATACTCAGAAAAAGCTTTTTCATATATTCAATATTATATTAGGTAATTAGCATTATATATGTATATCTATTATGTCTTTAAATACATTTTATAAATAAATTCCAACAGTGTGTTGTAAAGTAATGCATAAAAGTTTCACAATTTAAATAAATATTTTTCACATTCCAATTCAGCTTCTTACAAGCTCATCTTTATTTCATGCCTTAGTTCTGAAGCAATGTTTTTGCTTCAATACAAGAGGTAGATTTGATAGAGACTGGGCAAGTCAAGCCTACTGCCAAAAATGCAACTGTCAGTAACTGTATTGCTGATATGCAGTTTGAGACTACATGAAAAGTTCAGAACCACTACCTAAAATCCTACCAAGTCTTAGCTTAACAGTTCTTGTTAAATCACATTTAATGCTTTACTTTAGACATGATTACTCACAGTTGTTTTCTGTACATAAGATATAATGAAAAACACAAATACAAAACAAAGAACAGTTGTATCTAACACAATATATAAAAGTGCATGAGCTGCTTCATCTATTTCTGCAAAACATATCCAACTTTTCCTCTAACTTTGGCCATAAAGAAAAGACCTCTGGGGGAAAAAAAAAAACCCCAAACCCTACAAGTGTTTCCATTTTATGCTTGTCTTCACTTCAGTAGTTTACAGCTGGAACCCCTCCATTGGAGCCTCCTGCTGTTGAAACACAAACTGCTGCTGACTCTCATCCACCTGAGGTGCAATACTGGAGTCCTCTTCTTCGACACCAAAGTAATGTTCTATGAGTTCAAAAGCCTTTTGGTAGATCTCTTGGTTTTCATGCCTCTGAAGAAATTCAATTTTATCAAGTCCTAAATTCAAAACAAAACATTTTCAAAATCTAGTTGCTTAAATGAATGACGAATTCAAAGGGAAACAGCCTATAGTATAGCGGTACTTCTTAAGATAAAAAAATGCAATCCCAAATCATCTCAATTGATATCATTGATTTTTGATTTCCTAACCCATGTATTTCTAGTCTTCATTTTCTGCAGCATTTTCTGCTGTCCAAACTAATTTTAAAACAATGCTAAAAGAGTATCAATTAAACTAAGGAGGCGGCTGCAGTATCTACAAAGAAATACACCATGCCTACAAAGAAACTGAATCTGTGTAGAATTAGGATAACATAAAACTGTTTGCTACAGCAATTTCCAATATCCCCATTTCTTTTCTTTTACTCTTTCAGTCTTCCCCAAAAAGCAGCTAGTCATGAAATTCCACAAATGTTATTTTAGTTTTGATACTCTGCCTTTAAAATATGGTTTAATTCAGCAACTCTTAAAAGAAGAAACAGAA